CGAAATGTTTCTGACGATCTCGGTACTTCTGTGAAGTTCTCGAAGTTATTCTGAAATTTCTGGAACCTATTTAAGCTCCCGCAACGAAATAATTAAAGTACAAATTATCAAAACTAATTCATAACTTCTTTCACAGTCTAGAGTTTCGTGATTTTTTTGAAACTGGCCAAATATTTCTTAAAATTTTCTATACTGCCCTGAATATCTTAGTCCCACCATTTTACTGGAGTTGACTGAATTGCCTTTAAGTTCTACAATTTTCCTTAAGTTTACAAACGCTCACGCAACTTTGCATTAAATCATTAATTTTCCCTGGAAAGTCCAGTCCTGAAGTTTTCTATGCTTACCTTAATTTCTCTAAATTGTATAAAGGGTGATACGGTCAAAATTTGGTCAATGGAAAACGCGTGTAAATCGGTGAAATCGTTTATTTAAAAAATCAAATTAAATTTCTTTTTCAAGTTCAATTAGTATAAAATTCAGGAAAAATATTCAGTTAGGCTTCGGCTTTTCCAAATCCGAATTGCCGGGCCTTACGCTTGACCCCTGCCATCAGATTTTGTACAGCCACCTTGTCCACCTTCTTCGCCGCAGAAAGCCAGTTTGCCTTGAACTGCTGCTCGCCCTTAGCAGTTTTTTTGGTCTTCTTTAGGTTCCGCTTGACAATAGCCCAGTATTTCTCAATTGGGCGGAGCTCTGGCGTGTTGGGAGGGTTCTTGTCCTTGGGAACCACCTGCACGTTGTTGGCGGCGTACCACTCCATGGCCTTTTACCGTAATGGCAAGATGCCAAATCCGGCCAAAACAGTACGGAACAACCGTGTTTCTTCAGGAAAGGCAGCAGACGTTTATTCAAACACTCTTTCACGTAAATTTCTTGGTTGACAGTCCCGGAAGCTATGAAAATGCTGCTTTTCAAGCCACATGTACAGATGGCTTGCCAACCCAGATATTTCTTTGCGAACTTTGACAGTTTCATGTGCTTGAAAACATCTGCTACCTTTCCCCTTCCTTTTGCCGTATAAAACTCCTGTCCCGGAAGCTGCTTGTAGTCGGCTTTGACGTAGGTTTCGTCGTCCATTACCACGCAGTCAAACTTCGTCAGCATCGTCGTGTACAGCCTCCGGGATCGCGCTTTGGCCGTCGTATTTTGTTTATCATCGCGATTTGGAGTCACTACCTTCTTGTAAGTCGATAGTCCGGCTCGTTTTTTGGCTCGATGCACGGTTGTAGACGATACACCCAGCTTATTTGCGGCATCTCGGAGAGAGAGGTTAGGGTTTCGCTTGAAACTACCGGCAACTCTCTTTGTCGTCTCAGCGGCTTCCGGTTTTCGATTTCCCCCCGATCCAGACTTCCTGGCTGTCGACAAACGTTCCCCAAACACTTTAATTACATTTGTAACGGTTGATTTGGCAACTTTTAGCGATTTTGCCAACTTTGCGTGCGAGTAGCTCGGACTTTCACGATGCGCGAGCAAAATTTTGATACGCTGCTCTTCTTGCTTGGACGGCATTTTGACAACTGAAAAGTGAATTCCAAAATCAAAATAGGAGCAACATTCTACACACACACACCTTCAAAATGAGGGGTGTTCAGGTTTTTTAAATGCAAAATTGAAAGAAATACTTCAAGTTGATATTGACCAAATTTTGACCGTATCACCCTTTAAAACATATTTTTTGAAATTTCCAGAGTGGACTACCTCCTTAATCATAGAATTCTCGGAACATCCCATAATTCCAAGGAACTCTTTGGAAGTCACTGCAAATTTCCTTAAGTTAATGGGATTTTTCTGATGTTATCTCATCGTCCTCGAAATACTCGGAATCTAAAAATATCTAAATTTATTGGAAGTTCTCTGGCATTTCTTGAAAATATCGGTGCTTGCTAAAAGTTATCTTTTTTTTTATTAATGGAACTTCATTGATGTTCTCCAATCAACTTAGCTCAATTTTCGACTTTTTTTTAGATCTTGAAATTTCCATGTAACTCTCACATTTTCCGGATGTCCATATAATTTTTATTACGTTCCAGAAATTTTCTCTAAGTAAACCGAAGTTTCCGGAAATTCCTGGAAATTTTCTGGAAATTTTGTTAGCTGCCCTTTAATTCTATGAGCTGTCTTGATGTTTTCGGAGTTTCCCTAAATCTCTCAATTCAAATGAAGATTTCTGCTTTAAAATAAATGAAATTCTCGTGAACACCTCAAACTTCCCTGGGATTCTCTGGATTTCTGTGAAGTTCCTGAAATATTTCTAATGTTTTCATAAATACTGAATCTCTCGGAACATCTTAAGGGTTCTCGATTTAATTTCAGCACATCATAGAACTATCCTGAATTTGTCTAAACTAACGCTTATAGATTTTAAAACCAATCCAAAAGTCTGAGCTAAAGTTTCGGGGACTTCTCCTTAAGATCTCTGGAATTCTCGAAAGATCTCTAGATCTAGCTTTCCTGAGATAAATAAAACTTCTTAAAAGTTTCCAAATGTTGTGATCTTAGACTTACTAAAATGAAGTAAAGCTGTTTCTTTAAAACTGATTGTCATGGCTTAAAAACGCTTGCGTTAATTGTTGTTGTTGCTCTTTAACAAAAAAAAAACATATTTTTTAACGCATTTCATAAATAGCTTTACTATTATAAACCTAGAAATTATCCACCAAAGTTATGGAAAAATCTGGAAAACTCAGGGAATTTTATTTAGCCAAATGAGTGGACACCCTGTAGATAGAGAAAGACGATTAAACGTCAAAAAACTCTATACAAGGTCGTCAACTTCAAATTGTTCAAAAATTTGAACAAAATGTAGGTCTATCCTACACACTGCAAGAAAAAATCACTCTTGAAATAAATTCACGTTACAAGAAAAAGTGACTTTACTGACTTGGCCTTAAAAAAGGAGACTTTTTAGTGACTGACTTGAAAAAAGTGACTCGCTACCTGCCCTTCTATTATTACGTTGATTAGGCGAATCCTGGGAAGGCATCATCCTCGTCGTTAGAGAAACCTCTCAAATCCGGGATGTTCAGTTGATCATCGCTACTTGAATCACTGAGAGTATCTTCCGAGTCTTCGTATTCTGATTCTACCATTTCTGTGAATAATCTTCTCGTGGTTGCTTTAAACTCGCTTCAGTTATAAGCCACCTCTTGCCAATAATCCGCCGATCCTCCGCTTCATTCTACATCGTGCCTTGCGCTGGTATTCTATGTGAAGCATGGTCTTCCAATTTTCTTCTTCTCCGGGATCCCATACTAATCTGTTATGATGGTTCTGTTTTTATGAAAATAAAATGATGTTATATCCAACTATCATGGATCATGGCTATATGTTGATCCAGCGTGCAGATAGTTAATATCGTTGTCACTTCGTCGTCTTGATCTAGAAAAGAAAATCGCCATTCGATCAAGCCAAATTCAAAGGTAGTAGGTACCTGTGTTTTGTCGCATTCCAAAGATTTGAACCAAATAAATAATAATAAAAAATGCCGCCATTAGACTCAATGGTTTAGAAAAACAATTCAAAGCTAAAATCATAATTCTAAACTACACAATTATTTAATTTGACTTGTAGTTAAATCCCAACAGACTTATTGTCCGATACATCACAACTGGCATCACTAGTGTGCTTCTGTTCAAAATGTAAAGATACAGACAAGCCCTTCGACCTGGTTGCAGTTATGCAATCCTAAAGGTTATACCAATGCCCAGTGAACATTTGAAGTTGAAACAATTTTCTGAATTTAGAGATTTCGTATATTTGTTTAGGGGCCTCATAGCCTAGTTCGGGTTGGAAATTTTTTCGACTTCCCTGGGCATAGAATATCATTGTGCTTGCCACACAATATATAAATTCATACATTGGTATTGGCATTGAAAGCTCTCAATTAATAACTGTGGAAGTGCATTTAGAACACTAAGTTGAGAGCCCGCAATAAAGCTAATATGCGCTAAGCAATAAGCTTGAAAATGAGCTTGTTCAGCCTTGGGGTTTACAATATTTTCAAATTTCTAAAATTACCAACATATTTGAAAATTAGGAAAAATTATATTTCACTGAATTTTTGCAATTGAATACCGCGGTTGAGAAGCATGTAAGTGGATCGCTTGTTATCAACTAATGTAAAAGGGTTGAAGTATACTTTTACGTTTTGAGTTAACTGCTTATTCCAAGGTTTATTATTTTATAATTTTTTTTATTGTCCCTCCCCTCGCCAGATTCGAATGTGGTGTGACAAAAATAAAATTATTCATTTGTTCAGGCTTTATTGATAACTGCCGCAAGGGAAAAAAAAACTATGCTGCTGCATCACGATGACGCGTAGGAATTGGCGACACATGTCCTAAGGTTGAAAATAAGATATGGATTTGCTATAAAAAATGTAAGGTATTTGGAAACTCATACTATTCAAGCAATGAAAAAAAAAATATTACATCATCCATTCGATGACCGATGATCTTGCATTCAGATTTTCAATTACCCATCGATCTAAGTTATCTAGAGGTATCGGTCGTCATACTGCTCCTAAGAGCCTTAACCCTTTCCTTTCCAGAAAGTGTTTCGTTTTTTTTTAGATGCAAAAATGTGGTTTTGAAAAAATGCTAGAACAAGAGATCCTCCATATTGCTCTGTTTCAATAGTTGTTCAGTTGAGTTCTCGGGAGTACACATGGAAGAAAGCAATCAGCACACAGAGAAGCTTAAATAAGTACTGACAAACATGAGATGGACCAAAAAGTTCTGAATCTACCATGTGCTACCATGCGAAGGAGAGGGTTAATCTAGCTCTCAAGCATCACCGAAAATGTTACCAAAGGGTAATCAATCCCTAGTAATTTGCATAACGGTATACAATTGATAATGTATTCCCATCCCAACGCGCACCTGCACAGATACCGAAGACACCTAAAGCCAAAAACGACTGCCAAAATGGCCTTATCGCTTATCGCGCAAGCACACAGCCACACAACGGATAACGCGAATTGTATTTATTCGGCCTACCGCGCGCATCGTTAGCAGATTCCGATTCGTACCTTCAACCCTTGCACAGTTCTAGAGCCATTTATCACCGGCAAGCAGCATGTCGATCGCTACCTACGAAGAAATCCTAGACCTTCCGAACCACCCGGAGAAGGTTCTGGTCGACGTGCGTGGTGCCGATGAGGTCGCCAAAACTGGTAAAATTCCATCCAGCATCAACATTCCCCGTAAGTACCTATCTTGAATTCTGAAAAAAGTTTGTGGACAATGTTGTTTTAACGTACAAATCCAGTGGAGCAAGTTGCGAAAGCATTCTCACCGGAAACCAGCACGGAAGAGTTCCAAAGATTGTACGCAGTTCCGAAGCCAGCTTTCGACAACAACATCATAATGAGCTGCCGCACGGGACAGCGGAGTCAGACGGCAATCGATACCATTACCGCCCTCGGGTACACAAAGTAAGAAATTATCTGCGCTCTGCTACCTGGTACCTGGGCCAACTTAAAAAAAATTGCGCTTAGTCATCGGGTGTGGCTTTCAATATGTGTTCCCCTGCTATGCTGCAACCCAATCGTCCATTACCATCCTTCCTTGCACCCTCCGTGATAGGAGCTTTGTATGTTTCGTGTTCCATTTCAGTGCCTATCCTGGAGCAGGACTTGAATCTCCCGGTCGATGAATTCAAGGCCAAATATGGTCGCGATAAGCCGACCTTGGACACCGAAGTGATTTTCCACTGCAATCGCGGCGGAAGGGCTCAGAAGGGCACCGACCTGGCCGTCAGTCTCGGATTTATGAAGTAGGTCCCCGGATGATATGATCGTTAATTGCTTTATTTTTCATCCCAATATACTCATTTTCCGTTATCTATGTATTACTTTGAACGATTTAAGCTTGCCTTATTATCTGTATTGAGTTTGTTGATTGGAAGAGCACAGAGATTAAATTTCATGTTTATTCTATTTTAGCGCTAGAAACTACAAGGGATCCTGGACCGAGTGGGCTGAAAAGCAGGGCAAGTAAAGTGGTACGCTAATTTCGCAGCAAGTTCAAGTATTTCGATGAGGATAGGTAGGAACTAACGTGGAGTAAAGGCCTTTTAGGCAATAATCAATAACGGTTGTTATATAAATTAGAAACGATGACAGACCATTACCAACTGTTGATGAATTCAAAAGTTACCTGACCTATAACAAATATAGCATTTGCAATGCAAAATTAGACGAGTTCATCTTCCCTCGGGTGCAACGTATGTTCGTTATGAGTCAGGTGAGACAGTAGTGTGGTTCAAAATAACGATTTTGCTTCACCCAGTTGAAGCGATTTTAAATCTGGTGCTGATATTTCTTCGAAAATTTGAGCTTATTTGGTTCCGAACTTATTGTGCGCTGGCCCTTTGAAATTTTTATGGGGAAAGCTAAAGGGAAAAGTGAACTTTTTGTTGTCATTATCCTAGCTTTTCGCCATAAGGATTTGCGGGTTGGCTTTTGGAGAGCTAATGTTCTCGTGCCATAACGTTTCCAAAAGCTTGCAGATAGTTGCAACGAATGCTCTCTATGAAGCTTCAGTCTCCAAAAGACGCCGTTAAGACTCTTAACTTAACCTAAGAGTTCCAACGACGAGAGCCTCACTCCGTACTCTTCGTCGGCGATCTTATTCACGAATACCGTGAACACCTGGTAATCTGACCGTTTTAATTTGAATCCCGCTAATCTGCACGCCGAGCCAGGCATGGAAAATCATTTGCATTCATTTCATACATTCATTTGCCTCTAACTTTTTTCATCAACAGCATTCCGCAAAATGATGTATAGAGCTTTTGTAGGTTTTGTTATTGGCTAAAACTTTTGCTCATAATTCAAATCTGTATCTCTTATGCATCACGAACTAGAGCGGGCAGAACTTGTTACTGTTTTTCAGTGAATGTAAAATACATTCACTGAAAAACAGTAGGGGCTTCTGTTCGCTCTGGTTCGTCATGCATAAGAGATACGGATTTGGTTTTTAACAAAAGTTATTATAAGCTATAATAACTCATAACAAAACCTACAAAAGCTCTGTACATCATTTTGCGGAATGCTGTTGAAGAAAAAAGTTAGAGGCAAATGAATGTAAATGAATGCACGCAATGAATGCAAATGATTTTTCATGCCTGCGTCGTGCAAATAAAATGGCTCCAACGTTATTTAGATCAAGGAATGACGAAAAGCGAAATGAAGCATTGTTACAGCAAATAAAGCTACCAGAAACACGCTTTTCTGATGCTCATAGCATTACTAGAAGTTCAAATTAAAAATCAATACTGTTAATATGAATGAAGTGTCGTTCAGATAAGCCGGAATCTCCACGCAGATTGTTCGTCGCACACGGTACCGGTTTTAAATTACAAGTCATCGCAAAAGTGACAGCCAAAACAAGGCTTTCGGAAAGAAGCTAAAAGCTCAACAACTAATTTTTCAAACAGTGAAGTCAGTCTCAACTCATTTCATATATGTACATACCTACTATCACACTTGAATCTCCTCCATTTCACCCCAGCTGTGACCCATTTTCACCTTAACCTTCAGCGGCAAACTGAGCTTCGCACAGTTCTCCATGCTGGACTTGAGAATCTTCGCCACCTTTCGCACCTGATCCCGTGGCACTTCGAAAATCAGTTCATCGTGCATGTGCAACACCAGCTCGACCTGTTCCAGCTTAAACGTCTGCCGATACTTGCGCAAATTTCTCATCATTCGTAATATAGCATTCTTCAAAATATCCGCAGCCGAACCCTGAACCGTGGTGCACACGGCTTGCCGTTCCGCTTCGGAACGCTTTTTCGCATCGCTACTGTGAATCGCCGGAAGATAGCGTCTCCTACCGGTCAGCGTTTCGATGTAGCCTCGATCGCTCGTTATCTGAACCACCTTGTCCGCGTAGCGTCGAATGTCCGGATAGGTCCCATGAAACTGCTCCATCAACGTTCGGGCCGTATCTTCATCGACGTTAAGCTCCGCGGACATGGATTTAGCGCCCATTCCGTAGATTACTCCGTACACGATCGCCTTGGTGTAGTTCCGCAGCTCGTCGGAGACTAGACTTTCGTCTTCGATGTGATTCCACTTGGCAGCAATGCCTCGGAAGACGTCCTTCCCACCGTGCATTACTGCCAGGAGCTTCCGATCCTGCGATAAATGAGCTAGAACGCACAGTTCCAGCTGACAGAAGTCCGCCGACAGAAGAATGCGATCTGCACTGGAACAGGCGAATGTACTTCGACAGCTGAACAGCTCCACCTGGCCGGGATCGATTTCTACCTGGAACAGTATGAGGCATTTTTAAGAATATCCAAGTCTAAACAGACTACCTTTCTAACCTTGAAATCTTTAACGACTGACTGCAAATTCGGTTCGTGCATCGAAATCCTTCCGGTAGACGTGAAGCAATAACTGTTCCCGTAGATTCTCCTTCCATCGCGAATCGCTCGGCACAACGGTTCAATCGTTCGACTGAGATTACTCTCAATCTTCCGAAAGGCAATCACCAGCGCTGCCAGCGGGGAGTCGATCTTCTCCAAGACCTGACGGGTGGTTTTCACTCTACCGTTGCGTTCCCGTGGAACCTTCAGTGCCGCTGCCACTTCACTGGCTGAACCAAAGTCCAGCTTTCGCCCTCCATTCAGCGTACGAACCCGTTCCGAGATTCGATCCTTTGCCAACTTGAGCCGATTGATCAGGTGACCGAGCTTGATCGCATCGGCCGGGAATCCGACCAGTTCCATTCGTGCCAGCGCACCGTGAATGGGCATTTCCCGGTTGGTGAAGGTGCCGAGCATGTCCTGCGCCCGGTCAAGCTGATCGAATTGAGCCACTTGCGATTGAGTTAGGTGCGATACGAGGAAACTCTCCACTGTGCATCTGAAAGGGGGTTTTCAATTAAGTATTTAGTTAGGGTACATGTATGAAGGTGATTTACCTGATTTTCGCATCTATGGTGCTCATGTAGTTCAAACTCGGGCCGGAGGATCCTGGACAGCGACCGGCTAGTTGGCACAAGGAAGTGAGTTCCGGACAGTGTTGCTGGATCTGGTGATGTGCAAGAAAATACAGCTTAATCCCGCTAGCGGCAACACGTGATTTCGATCTGTCTAAGACGCATCTAGCCAGCTAGCTATTTAGCCACCTAGCCATTTTCCCCATTAACCCAGCCCATGGTAGCCATCTAATCAGATAGACATGGGGAGCTATCCATATAGCCAACTAGCCATCTGTCTATCAGCGATGTTCAACAATGGCCCTCTACCAGATAGCGCTGCCAGGGAACAAAAAACCAACCAACTCACCATTGCCAACAAAGGAATGACCTTATCTTCGGCTTGCAGCAGCCAGCAAGCCACCTTCGGATCGCGTAAATTTGCCATCAACTCCTGCTGCAGCGAGAGCAATCCACTTCGATAGGCCATTTTCAGCTGCTCCTTGGCGTCGAACATTTCCACCGTTGCTCCTTCACGCCCGAACAAACGCCTTATCGCACTTTGCTTCAATTCACACTTGATACTGTGATTTCTACGTAAATTCAAATAATACACTGCATTGACCGATTCCGACTCCGACACCTCGCCCACCTCCGGAAACCTGAACGCCACTCCGCTCAGGTAAAGATTTTCTCCGAAAACGTACGGATAGTTCCTCATAATCTCATCCTGTTCGCTTCGGACCTGCTGGTTGATCAGCAGATTACCACCGATAACCGATTTCGCCCGGTCGAATTTGCTCACAGCAAACGAAACACTGACCGAACGGCACTGATCCAACATTTCCACGAATTTTTGGAACAACCCTGAATCGGCACACAAATCGACCACATTTACACTGTCATACTTACCGCCTCCTCCTTGGGCGGACGATACCTTATCATCGTTCATCACGTGCGAAAAGTTCATCAGCAGAGAATTGTGGAATTGTTCGATTTCCCTATTGCTGTTCGCATCGGACACTTCGAATGATGTCGCCGATGGCGGAGATGGTAGCGCCTCTGCCACCGGAGAAAACAGATTCTCACTTTCACCGTTTCTCGCCAGGGGTGGTTCAATCACTTCGGCCTCCTCGGCCCTTTCCTCCCATTCCGGATTTCGCACCCCCATTTCCAGCTGGATGTACTCCCGAGCTTCCTTAACCAGCAGCTTGGCCGCCTCTTGCACCGTCAGGCCTGCCCTTCCCGTTACGTACAGATTACGCTGATTCAGTCTCCGTTGCGCGTCGAATTCGGCTTCCCCATCCCGCCGTTGTTCCGTTTCGAAGCTTACACAATTGTACAGGATCCGTTCGATGTCCAGGTGATTACTGTTGGCCAACTCCAGCAGTCCTGCAATGCCGGCATTGAACAACAGCCGTGCCCGTTGGCTATTCAGACTGGCTATCCGCATCAGATCCAGTAGGTCCGGTTGTACTCCAAAGTAGAGCCGTTCCCGAAACTGCTTGATGATCATCGCCAATAAGTTCCAGTTGAGCGAGGTGCAGAACGCAGTTACGATGCCTGAAGTGTTCAAGTTTCCTATGATTATTCGATTAAAAATTGCACTAATACGCACCTGCAAATGTGGACGCCACCTGCTGCAAGCCCTGCAGCACTCCCCGAGAGCAGTGGAATTTCTGCGCCACTCTGCTCAGCGGTTCCTCATCGACCAACTGTTTCAATGCGAGCGCCGTATAGAACCGTTTGTGAGTCAACAGAGCATCACGGTCCGCATCTCCGATCTTCCCTCGCAACCCTTTGACCAGGAAGGCATCCCGAATCCCGACCAACTCACCAACCCGTCTCATCGCAGCGTCCATGTTTTCCCACCGTTCAAGAAAATCCACCCAGCTGATGTCCTGCCACTGGTAGCTAACGGAATACGGTGTCACCAGATAGATGGCATGCAGTTCCGATTCCAGCACAAAACACTGGCGCGACTTTTGCAGCTCGCCAAACAGCAGAAACCCATCCCGAGGTGCCATCGAAGCCGACAGGCAAGCATTCCCCAGCGGGGTGGAAACCAGAAGCGATTCACCACTTTCCGCACTGTTCTGCAGCCGGATGAATTCATACTCCAGCAGGAATCGAACACAGCTAGCCACTGGATCGGCTTCGTCTAGCTGCTGCTGCTGCTGCTGCTGATGGTTCTGGACATTGGAGTCGGCTTTCTTGGGCCATGCCGTACGGCGGTGACTTTGTTCCAGCGAGTCCATACTGAAGGTGAACCGACACTTCTTTTCGCAGCTGAACAACGTACAATTGACGAACGTTTCCAGATCGACGGTGCTGCTAGCCACGCCGGATGCGATGATCTCCAGGATGGCTCGTTTCAGGTGGCTCTGGAAAGGGTACCGGAGAAAAAAAATTGCATGCGTCATTGAAATTTAAATGTGGCAGGAGTTTGACACGAGGGATTTAAAAACAACTGTTTTCGGTGCGAATTTCAAGTTCAATATAAATTTAAGCTGCTGATTTAGATGTCATTTTTTATGCATCATCTGGAGCACAATGTTATTTATTTCGAGCCAATTGGGTTGATTAGTTTCGAAAAACATACCGGTTTTTCTACAGCATCAGAAACAGCTGCGTTTCCTGAGCACAACGATATTGTTATCGATCCTATAGACATTCAGCTCGTTTTTTAAATCAAGATTTAAATTTTTAATGTTTGACACTTAATCTGTTAGTTGACAGCTTACTCCCATAGAAAGTCCCACAGAGGGGCTGTTGGCGCGTTTACCGTGGCCAACTCCGGTGGATTGGAAGTGAACTGTATTTCTTTTCGATTGAAAGATTCTACACACTAATCAAATTATCACCTTAACACTACTTTTATTCTAACTAGTTCACTATTTCTCTACAGATTGCTTTCTTACTTCACTGGATGTAACTTTGATGGCGGTCGGCATCGTGCTCAAAAAACGTTGGCTGGCTGGGGTCGCTTTTATAGCAGTCGTCCTATCGTATTTTGCTACTACGTGCGCTACGGCGAGCAGCAGCACGTTGAAGAGAAGTATATAGTGCTTCTCCCTTCTCGTCCAGTGTCCTTCAAATTCTACCTGGAGTGCGTTGTTGGCACGATGGGTGTTTTGGGTGACGATCGTTTGCGTTGTGTTTTTTGGGAGCTACTATGGCTTGTTTCGCACGGAACATACTCCGCCCGGTTGACTCGTAGATTCAACATCCACTCAGGGTTGGTGGCTCGTTGTCCTCAATCGGCAAAACTGCGATCCGGTGGATCGGTCGTCGGTAGGTAGCTCCGTTAGACGATACACCGATGGCACGGACCAATCCATCTGGCCCTGGGAATACCTGCATGATGCGGCCTAGCTTCCAGTTAAGTGTCGGTTGATTTTTGTCCTCCAGTAGAACTACCATTCCTGGGCGAAGGTTGCATGTCGTCTTGGTATTCTTTGACCTCGGTTGAAGGCTGCACAAATAATCTCTGGACCAAGATTTCCAAAAATTCTCACGCATCTTCTGTAAATGTTACCATCGTTTCAGACGATTTACTTGGATGTCTTCAAGGGATGGTTCCGGAACGGCTGTAAGTGGTCTACCAATCAAGTAATGAGCTGGCGTAATTACCTCTATGTCGGCTGGATCGGCTTCGATTTCGGTGAGTATGGTTGTTAGCTCTTCAAATGACAATTTGGAATAACCAACCACTCTGACCAAATGCCTCTTTGTCGATTTTACAGCGGTCTCCCGCAAGCCACCGAACTCGGGTCCGTTCGGTGGTATGAAATGCCACTCGATCTTCTTCGGCTGACAGAAGGACTGGTTACGTCCTGCGAACTGCTGATCCTGGAACTGTTGATATAGCTGGTGCAACTCGTGTTGTGCTCCTCGGAAGTTGGTGGCATTGTCAGAATGCAACTGTTGCACCATTCCTCTTCGGCTGATGAACCGTTGTAGCGCAGCTATGAAGGCGTCGGATATGAGATCAGACACGACCTCGAGATGCACTGCTTTTGTTACCATGCAAACAAATACTGCCACGTAAGCCTTGATGAGCCTGGATCGGTAATTTCCCATCTTGATCCAAAATGGGCCGGCGTAGTCGACACCAGTCACTGCAAACGGAGGTGCTGGATTTATCCTCGGTTTAGGAAGATTGCCCATCAGCTGCGTTGACATATTTGGATTTGTGCGGAAACATCTTACACAATTGCGGGTCACTTGCCGGATGGTTGAACGGGCGCTCAGCAACCAATACCTCTGGCGCATAGCAGCAATCAAGTCATTTTGCCCAAGGTGCAAATGCTCGATGTGCATTGTGGGGATTAGCTGCTTCGTCAGTGGATGCCTGTTCGGAAGGATAACCGGGTTCTTCGTCTCGGCTCGTAGATTCGAATGTTGCAGACGACCAGCAACTCGAAGCAATCCATCGACGAACACTGGATTCAAGCCTCCTAGCTTGCGGCACGGTTTGTTGGTTTGGACACGACGTATTTCGTCAGCTAGCTCTGACTGTTGAACCATCCTCATACTGGTGTAATTCGATCGAGTTCGGAAATAGTAACGTACCGGTTGAAGATACGTTGTGACCTGTTCTTGGTGCGGATGTTGGCGATGAATCGAAGCACCAATGTCATGATGCGTTCCTTCCTGAAGTCGCTGAAGCGGGAAAACAGTGGAAACTGTTCAACCACAGCCGAAGCGACAGTTTCGGTGCTTGTCATTTCGGGAAGCTGTTGGTTGGGGATATCGACTAACTCCTCTTCGTCCGGTTCGGTCCAGTCCAGTCCAGTCCACCAAAGATTGTTTCTGCGCAAATTGTGTGGTAGCTGACCTCTGGACACGATGTCTGCCAGATTATCACCAGATCGGATGTAGCACCAGCGATATCCTGCAGTGTTGGTATTGATTTCGTGAATTCGGTTTCGAACAAAAATCTTGAGGCGATCGGCTGATCGTTTCATCCACGCCAAGACGATTTGACTGTCCGACCAGAGGACCACGTCACGGAATTCCATTTGCATGGCTGGGATAATCCTCTGAATGAGTCGAGTTAGTAGCAATGCGGCACACAATTCCTTTCGAGGCGTTGAAATATCATGTAGCGGAGCAACCTTGGACTTGCTACTCAGCAACTTCATCTTGGCGGAACCGTTGGAGAACAGGCTTCGAACATAAACACATGCACCATACGCCAATGATGATGCGTCGGCAAAACCGTGGATTGCGTAGGACACGGCGTCTTTTTTTGTCGAGTGCTGGCAAGTTATTTGCGAATTCAACCCATCGCTCCTGCATCAGCCAATCTTGTGCTTCCACAGCTATTGCACTAGTAGATTTGCGACGACAATTCTCTGGTGACACAAGTCCTAACGGGTCAAAAAGCTTGGCCACATCGGAGTAGATGATACGCTTCGTTGATCGTTGATTCAAATCACATTGTGCCGGCCTTGCGATGAGGAAAAGATCGGCTTTTGGTTCCCAAAGCAAGCCTAGCACTTTGATGACTCCATTCGGTCCGTATTCTTCCAATGGAACGGGCTGTTCTAGTCGATCGTTCGGAATGTGGTCCAAAAACTCTTTTGAGTTGGAACACCACTTGTGCAGCGAAAACCCTCCTCTCTTCAGTAAGCCTTCCAGCTGCCTTGCTGCTTCGATGGCCTCCGGAAGTGAATTTGCACCGGAAAGTGCATCGTCGACGTAAAAATCCTCCTTGGCGATTTGCGCATCGATCGCAAAATCGGTTGATTCATCATCGGCGAGCTGCTGCCAGCACCTTGTAGCTTGGAACGGAGCCGATGCTGTTCCATATGTAACCGTCGTGAGCTCCAAGACTCACTCTGAGTCAACTCGAGGCACTGACGGCTGCTCACACCAAAAGACACGGAGATAGTGTGTGTCCCTTGGATGCATCTTGATTTGTCGATACATCTTTGGCACGTCGGCTGTGAATGAAACTGGGTACTTGCAGAACCTGAGTATGACGTCATAGAGTTCTTTCTGTACCACTGCACCGACTTGTAGAACCTCATTGAGTGAACGGTTGTTCGCTGTTTGTTTGGCGCTGGCATCAAATACCACCCTGCACTTGGTGGTCGAACTTGATGAGCGAAGTACCGCATGGTGCGGGAGGTAGTAGTTTTGCTGGTGCGGTAGATCGTCTTCTTCTCGTACTTCGTGGCAGTGTCCCAGCTCTTCATACTCACGCATGAACTCCAATACATTTCAATGTGGGAATCATTAATAATGTACTGGAACTTTCTACCAAGCTCATTGCTTGATTGACGCGTATTTAATGAGTTGGAAATGTTTGTAGTATCACTAGTACTCGGGAATTAAGTATGAAACTATTAAAAAGGACAAAATGGAACGAACTCACCAAATCTGACCAAGTAAACCCAACAAGCTGGCCTGACGTGTTAGAGGGAAAGGCGCACTTGTAGACGGTTCGCTTTACGGGGTAATCCAGTTTGTGGCAGAGTTTGCACGGAATGTCCCGAATGTAGTCTTGAAACACCTCTTGGCCGTCCGACACAATCCGCACACTGTGGAACTCGATTCAGGAAGTTCAAGTATCAGTTCGTCAATCCAAAAATTTGACGTGAGGAAAAATTTTCACTTCCATCTACAAGCACAGCACGATCTTTTTCACACTTATTCAGAATAGTGACAGTGTACCTAAATTGATGAAACTTTGGATTTCTGTTCCATGTTTAATGCAGATTACAAATATGCATTTACTTTAATACCCCTAAATAACCCAATTGGATACCCGTTAAACAAATTCAAAGTGAGCACCATTTAAATGCAATTTTAGTAATTCAACGGGGTAATATCAACCGGTGGAAACTAACGATTTTAAATTGGCTCACTACTTGACTAGCCTATTTGTCCCAAGCAAATCGATTAACGTATCCCATTCTAGTGGAAATTCTAGTACTACACTATGTTTGTTTTGATTCGCTATGAAAGTTTGACAGATAAAATGAGGGGTTATTGGTTTTTCCTATGTTTCGAGGGGTGCATCGATTAGCTTGGGACCGAAGAGAGTACCAGAGCTGAGCCAAAAAGTTGAGCACGTTCAGTGGGACCTACTAGTCTTAGAGTTACCTCTATGGTTCTACGGAATTAAAAAAAAATTCCTAGAAAATCGAAGAAATTTTTTTTGCAAATTCGACTAAATTTTCAGTTAATCTAATTGGCCGTGTACTATGAGACACATTCCTAGACGACCGGACGTCTCTCTCTGTTCTCTCAATAGTGATAGCAAGCGAGCACGTGATTGATTGAGGCCTAAAAGTTTGATCAATTTTCAATAGTTCACTAATGATAAATTACTGAAATCTTACATCAATTCTGAATCAGAGGGTGCGACAAG